GCCCCCCCCGGATCCGCCAATGGGTTAAAGGACCACTATAGGCACCCAGACCACTTCAGCTCAATGAAGTGGTCTGGGTGCCAGGTCCATCTAGGGTTAACCCTTTTTGCTGTAAACAGCAGTTTCAGAGAACAGATTGCAGGGTTAATCCAGCCTCTAGTGGCTGTCTCATTGACAGCCGCTTCCGCGATTCTTACTGTGAGAATGCTTTCCTATGGACCGGCTGAATGCGCGCGCGGCTCTTGCCATTTTGACAATGGTGGATACCAAAAACTCTGGCAAAATGGAAAAATGCCTGTGTTGTATCCAAATACGTGCAAAATGATATTCAATTTATTTATTATTTATCTCTATGACATGACTTAGAATCAGGCTTTAGTGCTGTTAGTCATATTATCACCAAACAGAGAAACCGTCTGAATATCACCGAAAGAGGAGATCTTTGTTTGTTCCTTCCAAAAATCGAACACGATATCAAATATTTAGTCTCGCAGCATCAGCCTCAAGGATCTCACTATAATGAAGTGGTCTGGGTGCCAGGTCCCTCAGATTTTAACCCTTCAGATGCAAACATAGCAGTTTCAGAGAAACTGCTTTGTTTACATTTGGGATTAATCCAGCCTCTAGTGGCTGTCTTCTGGACAGCCACTAGAGTCGCATCTGCGATGCTGGATGCGAATTTCGCATCCATCGCGCAGAGTGTCCATAGGAAAGCATTGAGAAGAGAGCTGACGTCGGCGGGAGAGGAGAGGTCACCAGCGCCGAGAGAGCCCGGCGCTGGATAAAGGTAAGCTGCTGAAGGGGTTTGAAGGGCTTTGTTTTCCTGACACTATAGTGATCCTTTAATCATCAGTTAAAGTTAAATTCAATAAACTTTGTTTTCACATTTAACTTTCTTTTTCTTCAATTTAAGCAGCTGCCACGCTAGTAGGCATCGATGGAGATGAGTTAATTCATTACATTTAAATTATATATTTATAAACATGCATAAACCCTCCTATCTAAAATGAATTTAGCACTTGCGCTAAAAAAGTAGGCACCAGTGGGCAGTAAGGAAATTTTACCATCAACATAGATACAAAAGTGGGCGGTAGATAATAACAGGTTGACTATCCCTGGCATAAATAAACAGAATTGTAGAAATTAAACAATGAAGTTTATGAATAAGAATGTTTTGTGTACTAAAAGAGGGGCAATCACTGTAGAAACCAGTGGAACCAGCAGGCACATTGCACCTTTTTCATGCTGCACTACTTTTCAAAAGAAACACATTTTATACATAACCCCAAAGTATTTTATTTCTCCGCTTCATTTGCAATGTTTGCCACAACTTTGACTTATCTGAACTGGACGATGATGTTATTGACTAAAGCTTTGATATAAATTTCAAGAAAAAAATTTCATGTAAATTTTAAAGTGACATGCATACCAGATGCTCTCTTTTGCCCCAGTGTTGGTCTCTCTCCATCAGAGCTAGACCCAATTCAAGATGCTCCCCCCACCCACCCAGTTCCAGTCCCTCTTTCCCCTGAGTGCCAGATGTGCTCTTTCTCCCCACGTGCCATACAGATTCCTTTTCCCTGTGCCTGTCCATACAGATACTCATAGGGGAGGTGTTGAGGAACCAAGAAATAGTGTACTGCCAGCCAAAGACCATAGGTGGTTGGAGCATCACAATGTGTCCAGCCCATCCTGTAACAATATGAAAGTCCAGAGTGCCAATGAAATCATGAGAATTATAGGCCAACTGATTGCTGTTGGAGATTGTTCTTTCTGTGATAGAAGAGGAGCCTTTCAAACAGCTAATGGAGGACGTGGCTCCACAATACCGTCTTCCCTCAATTTCCACTTTTAGCAGGAAGATAGTCCCCTCTCTTCCTGCATTAGAGTTATGAAAGAGGAGCTTGCGAAGGCTGCCGATCAGTCTGTGCATTTCACTAAAGATTTGTAGAGTCCACCTAGTGGCCAGTATGTTTACCTGAGATAACCAGTTAATAGAAGCCATGACCGGGCACAATAGAAGGGCTGAAATTTACAACGTTTGTGAACTTTACCCATGTGACGCCAAAACGTGAGTGCCCATTGTAAGCATGATGACACACAAACATCTGCATCACAAAAAAGGCCTAATATGGAGCCATAAAAAGGCTCAGGCATGCAAAGGCTGGCGTCAAAAAGGATCCTAGAGCTGCGGCTGCAGAGGATGCAATTGGAGGTGGCACCCGCCGTTAGGCAAGAAACCGCATGGGGACATGCCTCATGTTGCAATGCCGGTTGGGCACTGTTACAAGGATCAGCTTAAACTTAATCTTTGCAAACAAGTAGATAAATCTCCTGAACAGATGCTAGCTTGTTTAATTAAGCACCTGTTAGCACACTTGAATTGTTTTTTCTCTACTTTTTGTTTTGGTCAATTTGCTAAACAGGTCATCCTGGGTGTACAGATTCTAAAAAAAAAAAAAGCCAGGGTGAATAGTGTTTTCACAACTATGGTGTCAGGAATACGTTTGTATTCCTGACACTATAGTGTTCCTTTAAGTAAATTAACATTCTGGTCAGCATAACAACTTCATCTAAAAATGCTATGATGCCAGGAAGCCCCTGGGTGCTTGCTTTCCTTTAAGGGGTTAAACTGCTCCCAAATGGTTTAAGCCCAAAGGCTTCCTCCAGGTCGCTCAATGGTATTTGGCTTCTGAAACAGATTTTCAGGAAGTGCAGATTGATGTCAGGCATGGGTGCTGCAGATTGGCTAGAGTGGTCAGTTGACGCTCTAAGCCAATTGCTAGTTTCTGGTTCATAAAAATGTTTTACTTTTTTATGAATGGGGAGCTACTGATTGGCTTGGAGTGCCAGCAGACCGCTCTAGCCAATCAGCGACACCCCTACCCAGCAGCACTCTGTGCTTCTTGACACTCAGTAAATAAAAGTGAACACATTAACACTGATATTTTTTTTTTACCTGAGGAGCTGAGAAGGTCCACAGTTTCCCTGCCAGGCCCAGGTACCAAAGCCTTATGATGTGGTGTCCAGAATAAAGTGGAGGCTTCACTTCACTTGTCCTTCTTGCTCCAATCTCCTTTTCTTCTCTTTCATTTGACACAGTCTTTTTCTTCTGACACTGTCTTCTCTCCTCCTTCTGCTCCCTTACCTTTCTGCTTATTTTGCACCCGTCTGCTTCTTTCTCGTTCTGATCCCTTTCTGCTCCTTGCAGACCATTTCTGCTCCTTCTCCTACTTTGCCTTTGTGTTCCTTGCTGTTCCTTTCTGCTCCTTCTCCTACTTTACCTTTGCGCTTCTTCTTCCCCTTCCAGCTCCTTGCTACCCTTTTCTGCTCCTTCTCCTACTTTACCTTTGTGCTCCTTCTGTCCCTTCCTGCTCTTTGCTGCCATTTTCTGCTCCTTTCAGACCTTTCCTTCTCCTTGCAGATCCTTTCTGCTCCTTGATGTTCCTTCTCCTTTCTGCTCCTTCTCCTACTTTACCTTTGTGCTTCTTATGTCCCTTGCTGCCATTTCCAGCTCCTTGCTGATCCTTTCTGCTCCTTGCTGTCCCTTCCTGTTTCTTTCTGCTCCTTCTCCTACTTTACCTTTGTGCTCTTTCTCATTCTTTCTGTTCCTTCACCTTTGTGCTCCTTCTGTCTTTTCCTGCTTCTGCTGTCCCTTTCTGCTCATTTCTATTCCTTTCTGCACCTTTTCCCACATTACCTTCGTGCTCCTACTGATTATTTCTGCTCCTATACCTTTATGCTCCTTCTGTCCCTTTATGCTCTTTGCAGACCCTTCTTTCTCCCTGCTGCCCTTTCCTGCTCCTTGCTGACCCTTTCTGCTCTTCTTCTACATTACCTTTGTGCTCCTTCTGATTCTTTCTGCTCCTTTACCTTTGTGCTCCTTGCAGACTCTTTGTGCTCCTTGCAGATCCTTTGTGTTCCTTGCAGACCCTTCCTGCTCCTTGTTGCCCCTTCCTGCTCCTTGTTGCTCCTTTGTGCTCCTTCTCTTACTTTATCTTTGTGCTCCTTGCTATCCCTTCAAGCTCTTTGCTGTCCTTGCGAGCTCCTTGCTGCCCCTTTCTGCTCATTTCTGTCCTTTTCCTTTCTGCTCCTTCTCTTACTTTATCTTCCTGCTCCTTCTCTTACTTTATCTTCCTGCTCCTTACTGACCCTTCCTGTTGGCTGTCTCCCCATTCCCTCACTTACCTGATCTGTAGGCTGCCCCCCATCCCTCACTTACCTGATCTGTAGGCTGTTGTTGCAGTCTGGGAGTTGCTGGCTGCACTCGGTGCTGCTCCCCTGCGGATTCAGTCAGGAGAGTGAAGCAGGGATAAGGTGTAACTTCCTATCCCTGTCTCTCTCCATAAACAGAGCCACCTACTGGCCGGCGCCGATATTGCACTGTATTTTCAAGAGGGTTTGAACCACTATATAAGGTCCTGTAAAGCTGTAGAAGCTTTGGAAAAGCTAAAATGTCTTCCATTTCTACTCCTATTCTCAGACATCTAGTACCTGACTATGAGAACCTGCGTACTTAGAAGAGGCAAAAAGATTAAATTACCGTCAGGGTAGATGGTCTCTTTTGCTGTCTAGGTTTAATTTCATAATTACGTATAGACCTGGACCATGTAATGCTTAAGCCGATGCTTTGTCTAGGCAATTTGATTTATCATACCCCCAGAAAGAATAAGAGCTCCAGCTGTTTCTGTGTCCTCACCTTTATTGCATCACATTAAATCGAACCAGTACAAGTCTCCTGAGAATAAACCTAAGGATAAGTTGTATGCCACATCAGAAGTAAAAAAAGAGGTCATGTCCTTATATCATGAAAGCCCGTGTCTTGTGTCTTTAATTTTATGGCAAGAGAGGAGGCTTTATATTTGCTTTAACCTTCTTTACTGAACCTCCCAGCAGCAAAGTAACAGTTAAACATATAGTGAAAGAAATCAACCAATCAGAACACATCTTAGAATATATTAGTCTGTGAAGCTCCTCCTAACTCCTCTTTCTTTGCTGCTTGCCTCCTAGTCAGTGAGTGAATTCCAATTATAGTCGTATATTAAATATATAAAACATTTTTTTTTCAATTTTCTAAAGGCATTATGTTTTTTTCCCCACTGTTTTTCTGAAGCAATTTGTGGGTTTATGCTTTTGGATTTTACCCCTTTTAGGACCAGCCCTTCTCTGGTCAGTCCTCAATCCTCACACTTTCCCCAGTGTTTTTTCGTTTCTATTTATTAGCCTACCCTTTGTAACCTTATTAGAGGTGTAAAGTCTTTTATTCCCATGCCACCGTGGCTGTGGCTCGAGTATATCTCCAATACACTCAAGCGCCAATATCCTTACCTCCCTCTTTCGCTCAACTCTGCCTCCCTCCTTCATGACGGCGGCCATTTTGTTGGGCAGTTTGTCCATTTCGCCTGTTTTTGAACAGTTTGTAGTTTTTCTGTTCGGTAATCCCGACTTTTGTTTACCTCAGATTTCTCTGCCACACTTGTATTTTTAACTGCATCGGTCTACTGCTCTATGTTTGAGCGGTGCATATTTCCAACGTATTGTTATTTTCCTAAATATTTGCTTACTGTAGCCTATTTTGCTTTTCTTGCAGGCTCCCCCAGTTTTTTACAGCTCTCTCTCTCTCTGAGGGTGACTCCCTGGTGCCTCACATTTGAGGGTGACCCACTCTTGCCTTATTATTATATTTTCCTGGGTAACCCCTGGTTTATACTGAGAATACAGGTATACATCTGTCATTGATACCTGCCATTACCTGCCATTACACTGTGGTTGAACCCCACAGAACAACATTGATTGATTAATTTATGTGGCTGACTCAACTAATTCAAATCTACCTTTAGGTACCAATATATTTTTCCTCTGGGTGAACCCCAACACAAGTCCACTGCCTCTGTGTTTTTTGTAGTACGTAACAAGTCTCAAAAAAAATAATATTTTTTATAACGTTCTATTCTATTAAGTGTGGTGACCCCACTAATATTGTCTATTCAGCATGTCTGAACAACCAGACCCCGCAGAACTTAAAGCATGACTTCAAACTGCAACTGCAGATTCTATCCCCAAGGCCTTAGCAGCTTTGTTGGCCCCTACTGCCACCATAACTCAATTATCAGATTATGATGACTCCAGCATCTCTCATCATGATGAGGGCCCACGTAAGCGCCCTTGGAAGGGTGACAGTGCTTCTTCTGGTTAAGGCAAATCCCTAGCAAAAATGGCTAAATTATCTCATGCCAAGTCCAGGGGCGGACTGAGAACCCTCAGGGCCCCCGGGCAAAATAAATCAAGGGCCCCCTTACAGGCCCCACCCATACTCTGCAGCAAGCGCCACCCTTGTCCCGCCTCCAGCCACACCGTACACAATCTTTAGACACAAGGAACAAAAGGGCAATAAGCCCTTCGAGGCCCCAGTAGAGACTACAATTGAGGGCTAATGGGCTATGGAGGGGGGTCTTTCTAGCGGAGGCTATCTCAGTGTCCTTTAGAGGGTGTGTTAGAAAGAATCCCCTCCAAGCCCCATTAGAGACTACAATGGAGTCTAAAAGGCTTGGAAGGGGGTCTTTCTAACAGAGACCATCTCAGCGTCCATTAGATATCCCCTGCTGGAAACAGTCGCCTCCAGGCCCCAGTAGAAACTACAATTGAGGGCTAATGGGCCATGGAGGGGATTTCTAGCAGAGGCTAGAGTCTAATGGGGCCTGGAGGGTGGTCTCTCCAACATCTGGTTCCTATTCACAATATAGCAACACAACATAGCTCGCTGATACCTAAGCCAAGTTGGCTCCTCTTACCTTAATTACTGTTGCTGGCTGGCAGTCTGTGGGCTTGCTGGCTGCAGCTGGCAGGCTGTGGGCTTGCTGGCTACTGCCGGCAGGCTGTGGGCTTGCTGACTGCGGCTGGCAGGCTATGGCTTGCTGGCTGTAAGCCTGTGGCTTGCTGTAGGCCTGTGGGCTGGCTACTGGCCTGTGGGCTGGCTACTGGCCTGTGGGCTGGCTACTGGCCTGTGGGCTGGCTACTGGCCTGTGGGCTGGCTACTGGCCAGCCTGTGGGTTGGCTGGCTGGCTACTGGGGCACTTGTAGATTATTTAAAAAAATAATCCATGCACAATAACCACTACTGCTCCAGAGTAAGTAGTCAAACCGTTTAAGAACAGTTTGACAACTTACCTGGGGTCTGCTGGGATATGAGGCTGTAGTAGGGAATAGGAGCAGTGGTGGAATGTGTGTGAAAGGTTCAGTGTGTGTGTGGGGGTGTAGTGTGTGAATGTGTAGAGTGTGTGGGCAGTGTATGTGTGTGGCAATGTTAGTATGGGGGGCTGTGT